GTCGACAATACGTCCGCCTCACTAAATGTACCGACACACAATAAATAGACGCTTCAATACACAACCAATACATATTGAAAGTCAACCTTTTGTAAAATGATTCATAACATAGATAGGATGAAATGTGTGAATAGGTACTTAGATATCATTAGTCCTTACTGTAGTTATATATGTTAAAACTGTTCTTGGTTTTTTCTTCTTGAGTCAGCACACATTTTTGGCATTGAGCATTTTGTCCACAGTCCAATAGTTGGGTACTTAGTCACTTTCGCTAGATTGTCTGAAAACGTTGATAGTGATTTTCTTGACATCTATAAAACCGTTAAAATGAGAAAATAAACTTTATCTTTACTTATTTAAGAACTCAATTACAAACGTAAGAACCTCATTACGCTATGCTGGGTACAGCTAACAATGCCCGAAGAAAAACTATCTCAACATCATTTGAAGAACTACTTAAACTCGTCGTAAGTGTCAGAAAAAGTTGGTAATTTTATAGCGAGCAGTTAATACTTGGTTTAAAGTATTTTGAACAAGTTCTCTTGAAGTTAGTACCACTTGAGAAGATGAACGGTACCCATTAGTGGGTAATATAATATATCAGTAGAAATAACGATATCTCATGTGGATTTCTTCATTTAATATTAAGAAGAAGGATTAATTATAATGTTCCTCGGCTTTAAAATTTGATCATCCTATAAATGTACAGGAAGTAATCTGAAACCGTGAGCAACTATGTGTTTGTTATAACGGAGTCTGTAATTTATCTGTGATCCCATTTCACGGCAGACTTGGTACATGAACATGTAGCCATCAGTACCTACTAATAGAATAACACATCTGTACATGTCCCTTGTTTTTTGGCGTGTAATATAGGTTTTCCTTTCTTACTATTTTGATAGCTAGCTATACTATAATATATATTATAGCTAGGTCTATGATGATCAACTACAGTCGCCGCATAGTGTGTCGTGGAATCCTGCTCATGTATGAGCCTCTAGTATGGCTTGAAACTAGTTGAGTTTCTCGTCATACGTACAATTTACTATCACATATTTCACGAAAGTTGTAATATAAAGAAAGAAATACATTATATAAAGAAAGATAATGAATACTGAACAAACTTCTTACAATATTTCAAATCTATGGTGTCAGTATAGTATAATGCCCTCGGCTGGGCAGTGGGCACACACCCAAATTCATCAAAGAACTAACTTTAAAAAGAAAAAAATATATTTAATACTTGGAAACGTGTGACTGATTTCGCTAGCAAAAAGTGCTTAATGGATTTTGTAATTAAAATTACCGTTAGTAGCCCTGAGTCAAGAAATTCAGCGGTGTTTAACCCACGTATCACAGAGAGCACTGTTGTAAATCCTAATTTTTTTTACGGCTTAAGCTGGCAAACGAGCAGGCGTAGACTATTCCTCATCTTTTCACCTGATGGTAAGCAATCGACGTCGCCCATGGACACCTGGAACACCAAAGGCGTTACAAGTGCGTTACCGCCTACCGGCCTTTTGGGGATCGTTGGGGATTCAGGGATTAGTATCACTCCGGTCGAGCCGGCCACTTCGTGCCGAAGCATGGCTCTCCCACACAGAAAAGCATCCCACACCCAATCATCTATGACACGTTTTACAGAACGTCACAAGCAGTAAAAAATCTGGCATTATGAATAGATTAGGAAAAAGAAAGACCAATGATCATAGCAGTGATTAAACCAAGGTTCCTGCTTACAGCTACTTGCAAACAGATAAAACTACTAAGCGAGACATTTATTTGCCGTAACGACCCATCTCCCACTGTTTGCTGCAAAGATAATGAAACTACTCGAAGCTGCAGTAAATAACAACAACACATCTTTGAAGAAAAATCAGCTGAACTCACAGGGGAGTTAGTTGCACATGACCTCAAATAAAATAAATAGTCAGCTATTCTCATAATGGTGAAAGTTTTAAACCGACCAAAACGTATGGCAGTGCGGCGGAGTAATCGCCAAGTTTCTCCACTAACCTCTTTAATTTGTGCGAGCAATTCTACTGAGCGCCGAAGTTTATAGCACACCCTCTTGTAGTCGGGCCATGAAGCCGGCGGGACTTAAAACATTTCATCGCACTTGTTTATATTTAAATATAAAACGTATTTTTACTCACGTCGTTTGATGGACGCGGAGGTTTAGGTTTACGAGATCATAATGCGGGGTGGCAAATAAAATGCTTGTAAAATCCGGCCAAAGTACTAAATAATATTAGGGGAAAGGTTTCTTTACAGTAATAAATAAAAGGCTGACGTGTCCAGGCCCTCCCACAAACATGGGCAGTAACTGCTAAATGGAAATTTTGTGACTTGATACTTAAACCGCTTTAGAATTTAATTAAATAATCAACGTAACACATTTTGAAGTGTTCCCTTTGTATTGTGCCACAACTTTATGTCCTATTAACGTATTATATTTTATGATTTGACCAAGATTAATATTCACTACCACAGCATTCTTTACCATTACATATTTTTGCTTTTTTATTGAACACGTTAAATGACAGACGTTAGCGAAGGATTTTCCTTTAAGAGTTTCCACCTTATATTTACAACGCTAACAAGACAACCGCTGAACTTATAGCTCCTCAGGAACTAATGCATTCAAGTGCACCTCACGCGGGCGCGGGTCGCGGGGCGCGGGGTGCCGGCAAAAAGCGTAGAACATAAACTTTGCACTATACGAACTAACACACTCACGGTTCCGTACTTCAATTAATACGACATGTTGTCACACGGATTCCTCAACTTACTCTAACTTGTTTAGTTCACTTACATCTATGTAGTTACACTAGCTGCAGATTCAAAGCTCTAACATCAAGTTTATATTTGAAGCAATAACATTTGACAATAGCAAATAGAATTTTTTATAGTTTACTTGTGTTGTAAGAAACAAGTCAAATGAAAGAAAAATCACGACCTAAAATCGAACATTTATTTCGCAAATGAACCAGAATTTTTCAAAGTCAAACAAACAGTTCCTTTGATTATCAATTACAAAGTTATTTTAAATCCAATGAACAAGGCTCAACTGTCTAATTCCAATAAGATTAAACTAAATATTTAATAGGTTGGAAACTTAAACATTTCAGCCTCGCTTGTACCTAAACTAAGTTATATTCAATTAGGCTATCCACTATACAATTACAGCTAAATCAGAATAACCGCAAAAGCGTTACTGTGCAAATACTCAGCAGTTATACAAACCAGAATAATTGAAGAGCGTGAATGCCTTCAGTATTCATAACAGTGAGCACGCTTGAGAATAGCTCTCACATACACTGCACAGTGCACAGTGCACACGTCTTGTGGAAAAAACTCGCGGTACAAAAGGGTCCATTCAGAGCGGTTTCACGTCCCACTGAATCCTAGCAAGGAGTGCCAAGCAGAACGAATGCAGTGCATTCTTAAGCACCCAATGTTAGTAAGTGGCGGATGGAGGAAGAATTGCGGATTTTTCCTTACAACTGCACCTCTGCGAGCCCCGGTCTCCGGACGCTACTTATTTCTACAAATCCGTGTTATGTGCTTGTAACGGCTTTAATTGGACGTATATTTAGCTTAGAAGTAGTTGCCGCGTTCTAAGGATATAACCATTTAATTTCGAGGATTAAACGAATATACTGGACTTGTACACATGTAAAGGTATATGTTTGCGAAGCTAGGAGTAATAGCTAAAAGTTTAACGTTCATAGCAGATTAATTTACAACAAACATTAACTAGAAACAACTCACACGTTTGCTCGAAACATGCAGCTCTGGGAAGATAAACATATTGAAATTGTTTGAGAAAAGTTATAAACACTGATCCGATATGAATAACTATGTGAATACCTCACTTAGAAACGATTGAAGCACCAAAATATCAGTGGTGTATTTATGTGTGCGTGTACTTGCAACAACGTAATGCATGAAGTGTTATGACGGGCCATGTCACGCTACAGATGTCCTTCGTGTCAATGTGTGTGTATTCTGCGTGTAAGTGTGGGAGAGCCATGCTTCGGCACGAATGGGCCGGCACGACCGGAGTGATACCACGGCCTCACTGAAAACCGATGACGTGAAGTAAAGCTTGCATTGTCTTTCGTCGTGTGAGGGAGATTACCGGAGGACCAATAACAAGATTAACTTACACTAAAATTAGAAACATTATCGTAGCATGGAGTGCCATGACGCGCCAGAAGCATTTATCATATCGGTTTCATAAATATTTATTATGGTGAGAAATGCATTTCCGTTACGTGTCGTGTGGCGTAGGTCGCGGTGCCACGGTGCCACAACACGGCATGGTAGTGTATTTCTTCCTTTACGATGATAACTTGTGGAGTTCAGTGTAGCCGCAGTACACTAACTTCAAACCATTACTTTTACGTTTTTGGGTTTCCAGCTAAAAGTTAGTTCAACTAAAAATTTCAGTTCAGTAGAACTTTATCGGTACGTTTTCTCGAAACTAGCAAACTATCGAACATGACGTCGACATCGTATCCACACAGTCAACGAGGCAGTGATCCGTGGCATTATGTTACAATATGCAGTTTTTGTTTGTTGTCCTCCTTTAGTGTCAAAATTGAGTGACAGAGTGACGTGAATCTGTGTATAGATACGGAGGGTTAGTGAGTGACATAGATACATGAGAGGGGTTGCTTTTTCCCATAACACCAAGTTGGATTACAACCCAATGTTAACATGATGCAGAAAAAATACATACTATATAACTGCTACCCATAATTATAAACTTCACGGATCATAGGTGGCGTTAGTGTAGTTTTTAGCGTAATCATTGTGTTGATATGACAAAATTACGCGAAAAGTCAGGTCTTATATGTGTTATAAACATTTATTTTACTACAAAAGCAAAACACGTTCAGCCACTACATAACAGTTCAATATTTCATACAAACATCTTGTACAACACAAGAAAAAAGACAGTGATAAATAAAACATACAGGAACGTAGGAAATAAGTCTTTATTAAGTGTAACATATGATATATTTTCGCGTATACTAGTCTATGTACAATATTTACAAGGCTTTGTCATCTCTTGCAGCGGCCCAGTCGCTTCACAGCTCGCTTGAGACCCGCGTAGTAGTGCATCACTTGTTCCTATAAAAATGTACATATTTCTTATTTATTTGACTATTATATTTACATAGGAATTGAGCATAGAAGTTATATAATAAACAAGTCTTGAGAAACGTGGTTATGTCAAACAATATAATATACTTTGTACGTGATTCCATTTTACGTTTTGTGCAAAATTTATGCACCGGTCATATGCGCAATGCACCTATATTCAGTTTAAAATAGTACACCCACTACTATCTATTTATAATTTTGTGACAAAATAACAACACCAAATGGTTATTTAATAGAACAAATTGTTTTAGTCCATATTCAATATATTATGGTGCTACAAAAAACACGTTACGGGTATCATGGCGTCAGAATATCCGAATCAAATAAAAAGAATTCAATGATAAATGTATGGACGTTGTATTCGTTTCCTGTCGAAATATATCCACGTCAGTAAAAAAGTTAAACATTTTGCATATTCGCCACGCATACAATACGACACAACGTGACTAAAATCCCGAAATTTCTAGAATTTTTCTGTTTGCCTGGCATTTGTTCTGACTTTTCACGAAACTGTGAGTGAATTGTCTTATACCTCTAGTATCTAACAGAATTCCGAGAGTTATTGCTGCAATTTAGTGTTAAACAAAGTGTTTTGCCTGGCAAATAAATTCTGAATGTTAAAGGAACACTCAACTATTGATTAACATGTTGCGACTGCAAGGACCAAAAAAGGAACCAAACTTCACGTCTTTTCTTTTAGTCAAAGTCAAAGTCAAAATATTTATTTTTTAGACACGGTGGAGTAAGTTTGTTGTGGTAACTTAACTTTAATTAATCTCTACAATATCTTCATTACATTGCCATGCTCAAAATTGTCTCGTGAATTCAATTTCCAGATTGATCACAACGTCATGCACACCATCTTTTGTCACATTGTTAGAACTATTATCTTTGTCTTGTGCCAATAGATGTCGCCTTAAAACTAATAAAGATATATGAGGGCCAGTGCTTGCTTACCTGCATGAGGTTGAAGCACATGGCGACGAGTGCCATGCCGAGCATGAGGTACAGCGAGCAGACGATGAAGGACGGCTCGATGCGGGCCGTGTACACGCGCTCACCGGGGACGAAGTCACCGAAACCAATGCTGTGGGGCAGATAGTACTACGTATAAGTCAACGTTCAATAAGAGCTCTATCATCATCATCATCAGCCAGAAGACAACTGAACAAACGCCTCCTCCTTAATCCTTCATGGCGAACTACAACTTGCCACTTGTATGTAAACCTTAATACTATTGCCTTCTTTAGCAATTTAACCGTCGCGTAGGTCAACGGTGACCTATATTAGCGTAGGATTTGTCTGCAACAGTTTTCTTTCGGCAGTCGAGGTGTTAAAGCATCTTTAAAAGTTCATCGTTTTTTTTCAGAATTGTTCTACGTTATTTAAACAAAGACCTTCAATGCGTTTGTTTCTCTATTTTGTATGCAATAATCTCAAAAATGACTGAACGGATTCTGATGCGGGTTTTCACCATTGAATATAGAACCAAGAGAACTGTAATTTGTCAGTCACTCAAGAACCTATAAAATGACCTTATACACAAGACTCATGTCGAAATTTAATTGAAAAAAGGTGGATTTCTCAAAGAATAAGTAATTAGTAACGTAATCATACCTGCTAAGTGAAATAAAGCAGAAGTAGGCTCCGTCGAGCTGGTCCCACTTCTCCCACATGCCGAAGATCATAGACCCGAACATTATGTACCTGTAAACATTAGGACTAAATTAATTGCTGACTCATTAGTCTACCACTAAACAAGGGCCCTACGACCTAGAAAGGTCGACCAATTGTCTAGAATCTAGTTTCAAGAGATAATCAATTTCGAAATCCTTGTACAAAGTCTGGGAGATTGGAAAGTAACACATTCATTGGTACCTTTCAATGTAGATCGAGTTCAGTATAAAGAGAATAAATAAATAAAAGTTTGGTACATTACAAAAGGAATATTATATTTGAAAGTTATATAACAACAATATATTTTTTTTAAATAGTTGCCCCGCCGTTTCTCTTTCTCCTGTATCGTGGGTGCGTCTACAAAGATACAAGTTCACATACACATGACACCTACACCCGGAACAACAATTTGTGCATCACACAAAGAATTGTTCCGTGTAGGATGTTGCACGGCATCCAGTTACCCAGACATCGCGCCAACCGTGCAGTCATCGACGATATCGGCATGTGACAGTCTTCTGCTGGATTGTGGGTCTCCTCCACATAAGAGGCGTTTGACATAATATTGATTATAATTTCTACGTGTGGCAGACGGGTTGGAGAAGACAGAATTTCCAGTTACAGTTTAAAAGGTTCTGGTTTTTCAAAGTGCTATTACCCGGTCTGTACCAAAATCTACACTTACGGGACACACGATAAGACTAGGGGTGGCCATTGATAGTTATTTAGTTATCACCTAAATCAAATTTATTAATACAATTCGACGTTAAGTGCTATCAAAAACCAAAACTTCAAGCTTTTATAACTTCAAAACCCTTGACTTTTATTTCGATAGCCGCAGACGAGATTCATAAAGATAAAGTTTTAGAGAAAACTTTTAATTGATTATATTCAATTTTAGAAAATGGGTTTAGTTTATTGTTTAGTTTAGATTTAGTTTGTTGTCCACACAATACGAATTGCATGATAAACATAAGTTCAAATAATAGGCACTTGAATCACAGATGACTGGCTTTTAGATCTGTGGTCACAAGTGAGGTCAAAGGGTAGAAATGTGTTGTTAATAGAATATGAATCCTCAACAATAACATGAAGGTCGTAATTCGTTTGTAGCAATGACATACCTTCCCTAACAAATTCCACGAAAAACAACGTGACCTTTGACCCTTTATTAAATTCGAAAACAATATTCTGCTTCACCTTGTCATTCATCTCAAGTTAAGGAAAATCACAAAACTTGACTGTAGGTATCGTGTCTTCAAATAATGAAATATTAATAACATTGCTTTTCAGATATTTCTAATTAATACTAAGCTGTCATTATGATGATAAAGCAGGCAATTTCATTTGTATTTACTATTAATTCCTAACAGAAACGTCACTTTAAAACGAATAATAAAATCCATTCCAAATGAATTCTAGCTGATGAAGGTTCTACCTATCAAAATATTTGAACTCAGAGATAAACCTTTTAAATATAAATAATTACAAATTGCTATTTAATAACAGAAATACCTTCAAGTCACAACAATTCATTTTGACCATTCCAAAACACTTCATAATGAGAAACTAAGTACTAGACATCTCACCAATATATTTTACAAATTTTAATAGTATTCAAACATATCTAAAGAATTTTAATAGCTGACTAACTAGAAATATGAAATTAACTTCTCAATAAGAGCAATACGAGACTTATCAAATAAACCTAGATTTTCCAATATGGCTTCCATTTAATATCACGAAACTCGATGCTTAATAAACACTAACTCTTTTTCCCCTCTAGCTAGTTGGGACAGTGAAATTAATTTATTTTTTATGTTCTCTCGTTCCATTTCCACGTTGAATACCGAAAAATGTTTCCACTTTATCTCGGGGCTGGCACGCTCTGGGGTTTCAGGGAATTCTCTATATTCAGCATACAGACACATATTCGGTAGCCTACGGAGTACGGACCTCAGGTAACAAAATTTTGTCTAGTATGTATAAAATATTACAGAAGTGCTTACATAGTTTTAGTCAAAATATACAATACATTTCAGAGTTGTTTATTGTGAATATTTCAAGGTATTTGTAATACAATAGTGTAATCAAAATCGCTTGTACCTTGTTTCATACCTTGGGTATTGAAATATTCAACCAACCAAGTCAACCTTAATTCTTAATTATCAACTACTCACCCAACCATAATAGACACACAGACACTGATAGGTACTGTGATGGTCTGAGCATCGAACGTGACGTAGCTGAAGTCACTGGAGGGCGGGCTCTCTGCGGGTCGCGCGGGCTCCGAGCACCCGCGCCGCGGGTCCACGCGGGGCACTCGCGGGTCGTACGGCTGCGGCATTGATATGCTGCGCATGTAGTCTGGTCTTCTGAAATAGAGGAAGAAAGTAAGACTAAGACTTTAGGTAATTGGTCAAAAAAAATACTTTCTTTGTTATTCTGTCTTAGCTGTTTCCAAATAATAATTACAGATATGAACCGAAGACATATTAACGGAAATAGAATTGAAAATGGCAATATTCTCATTGGTAATCACATAATTCTAATTTAATTGACCTCTTCTCCCCACAACTCACAGATTACAATATAATAATAATAACAGAGTATTTCATGAAGCACTTCATTCAGTCTTTATTTAATTACATGCCACATTTAATTATACGTTTTATTACTAAACCCGAGTCGTAAAGCTTGTAAAATTAAGTAGCTTACACACAGCTGTAACTTTATTACGGGAGACATCTAATTCATTAAAGATGTCTATCTCATTAAGCCTTCAAAGAAATTCTTTAAAATGCTACAGCGGCTGCGGCGGCGGCTGAGATCCTCCCTCCTTTGACAATAATTTCGTCTTACGCAAACATTATTATACTGCGTGGTTAAACCATTTCCGAATCCGTAATTGTCAAGCGTCGTTAGTCTTATTTTAACTCGCTTTTATCTTAAAACGTTTTGAAGATTATGTTTAATTCGAACTGATTGCGATTCAAGGAAGATTGTGATTGTCTTGGTAACTCCCACACTTTTTGTTCGCGATAAAACCATAAAGAGCCGATACGGGAACCATTAATTAACCCAAATTAATGAACATCAGCTACTGGATAACGTTATTATTTACTTTGTAAAAGATTTTCGTGTTATTTTTACTGCAAAATATCAAGTTTATGATTGGTTATCGGGTAAAATTATTCACCAATTTGCAATAAAGTCGCAGTAGGTAATATTATGGTATTGAGTGCCACCAAAGTTAATTTGCGCTTAATCAGCTATGATAAACAGTATTGCAGTCAGTTGCTGAATAATTATTCGTGTAATCGATGCAAACGTATGTAGGAATTAATTAATATTAACTGCAGACTGCAATAGACAGGCGACCGGCGGCCATATCTGTAGATTACGCGATATTACATCAGCATTACTAGTACGTAGAGAATATTGGGAGTTCATTGTTTAGCTTTATACTGAAACGAGAATTCTAGTTACCATTATACAATCACTTCTGCGTCTGTCAGTCAACTTGTCATTCACATATGTACAATTGTACATTTCTTTACTTAGACATTGCGACGATGGGTACTTGTAAATGGAATGGAATAAAACTTAAGTTTAAGTCTCACTTCATCCAACGAGACGATGTATTTTATTTTGCGTTTCAAACACTTATTCATAAGAAAGTTGTTTTGTAAAAGTTCGTAGCGCGGTTTCAGTAAGTACTGGCCACGACCGAAGTTGGCTCTTTACTCCGGAGAGCATGAAACACTGATTGTGCAGGCACAAACTCGCAGGCGGCCAGTTTTATTAGACAACTTGTGCGGAGTTTGATTCCAGCCACAAGACTTGTGAACAAACACTAGCTATTGAACTGAACTTACTTTTACTAATCTAACTTTGCATAGTTTTGAGTACTGGCAACTACAAGAAATAACATAGTTTGCAAGTTTGGCATTCCGTCCGTAATGAGCATGCAAATTGTACAATCTGTGCACGTTCAGTTCTAAATTCCGAATTGGAATCAGCTTGCAGGACTAGAGCTATGTGATGATATCATGCAGATTTGTAGGTACGTGTACTGATGGATTGTTTTAGTCTCGGGTTCGATTCCCGGATCGGTAAAAGAAACTGGGCTTTTTAAATTATTTCTCAGTAGTAGCACGGAGTCTGGAATTGTGCCCGGTATATGACAATAGGCTCACCCCCTATTATATGGGACTCATAACGTAATTAGTGAAAGGTGGGTATTACATTGACAGTGACCGCAATGTGCACCTCTGCCTACCCCTTCGGAGACAAATGGAGTGATGGTTTGTTATGAAAGAAGTATGGAATCTAAATGTATGCTTTATAACTTATGTTTTAACTTTTAAAATATGTTCTTAATACATACTCATTGCTAATGTACTAGAATGTACTGTTTAGCTCCTACCGATTCTACTAAATTCCGTAAAGAGGTTCAATAAACGTATATCTCTTTTAGCTTTTGAAGCACCTACACTGTCATAATATAAGTTTCATACGACAGTAATATCAACAATACAATAAACGGCGGCCTGCTTCACAACTTCCCTATACGACAGTTGGTACCAAAGAACACGAAACGACACTAACAACACCACTCGAAGAAAATACAAGAGTCATAACATTTATATCCCTGCACTACTTCTTACGAGCAATCTAAAAAGAATTGTATGTCAAGTAAAGTTAGATGCTTTTTTCTTTGGTTGTTTAGTTAGAAGGTTCTATTCTCTTATAACTTCTCCGGTGATGATTGGTTGCCATCAGTTGATACGCATGCTCATTTACCGCCATATGCCATAAAAAACTAGATGCAAGAGTCGTAGCTTCGTATTTAGAAGTTTTATGGAAGTTACATAGTAGTAACTAAACTATGACGTTATTTCTTAATAATAAACTTTATCAAATACAAAGAAATAAGTAAAAATAAAATAAAAATAAAAAGCCTTTTATTCCAAAAAAGCCCTTCAGAAAAAACAGTTACCTACTAATTTTTCTTTTTTTCACAAAGAAGAAAATTTATTGAAAAAATAAGTGTGGTAGAACCATACTTTGGTACGAATGGGCCGGCTCAACTGGAGTGATACCACAGCTTTAAAAAAAATCGATGCGAAACAACGTTTGCGTTGTGTTTCGTCGTGTGAGTGAGATTAACGGATGCCCAATCCCTATCTATTTCGGAGCCTATTCAAACATACAATCAAACCTTTATAAAACTAGTATACAAACAACAGTCCATATTCCAGTTCTAAGATAGTAAACTATGTTGATAGACAGCCAGTAAATCCAGCATTGAACTGTATTGGCACATATACTATGTCTCTGGGCACGGCTGGCCAGTGACGTCCTCAAATAGCGCTGTATCGTAAACATGGCGCCGTTCACATACACTCCATTACAACTGCAGATATAATGCATCTGGATCATTGGATCAAATCAAAAGTATGTTTTACGAATTGTTGACTGAGTTAAGACATTGATAGTATACGTAAGAACTGGTGCAGGACTGCGATGCTACTTACAGTGGGTTAAAAGTGTGTACAGACATTATTGCTTCTTTGTTTACTAAAACAAGAGTAAAGACTGCACTATATACGGCAGGCAGTCAGTCAGTCAATTCCCACACAATGTAATATTTTTTTTTTTAAAACGTTGCCCCACCCTAGGGTTTTCCCCCGTGTCGTGGGTGCGTTTACAAACATACAAGTTCACATACACATGACACTCAGACTGGAAACAACAATTTGTGGATCACACAAAGTGTTGTTCCGGGCGGGAATCAAACCCGCAACACGTTGCACGGCAGCCGGTTGCCCAGCCACCGCACCAACCGTGGACTTAATTATTTGAATGATCCACAAATCGTTGTTCCGCTCCTGAGTATGTGTATCTGAAGTTTGTCTTCATAAACAAATCACCCGCAATACAGGAGATCACAGAAGAACAACTTAGTAAGTATGGTGTTTTAAATTAACATATTATTAGTATATCTTACCTAGGATACCCTCGAGGAGGTGGGTACCTCCCCGGTGGGACCACGTAGTCCGGCGTGACGTCAGACTCTGGGTACCGCGACCTCCACGCTTGCGGCCGCTCTATACTCTCTGCTTCACTTAACTCATACTGCAAAATAAAAAGGTTACTTGGAATTAGTAATCCTATTATGGTGATCTTAGCTGCAATCTCCAAGTTGTCGGCCAAGTTTTGTGATAATGGAAAAACCTACTGCAGTTTGAGATCTTTGTGTAGCAGTGTAAGACGTAAACTCATAAGCTCGGGTTTGTGATGAAATTAAAGCTTAGAACAAAATAAAAACCAGAATGAATGAGGATACCTTATTCTTAAAAAAGTAAAAAATACATGTTTGCAGTACTCTTATCACAATCATACGCTAGATATGATAACAACAGTGTTTCGGATCAATTTTAAAAGGCAAAACTTCTAAGACTTCGCTAAATTCTTGACAAGAATCTCGTAGGTAAGTACCTCATAATTAACAACCACATTTCCTTCAACAAAACATTACCTTGAATTCTTACACGTGTAGATAAGGAGCCACTTAACGAAGACAAGGGTAACTACCGTCTTCATTATCTATCTATCCTCCTCTAATCTAAATGTCAACATTGATGATCAGTTCGCTAGCTTTCAAACTATCATAGCTCTTGACAGATCTATTTTTGGCCTTCCCTGATTGGTCAATCCAGCGCTGGCCGTTGCTATGGTAACCGCTAACAATACTAGTGAAGGAGATATGATATTAGAGATTGATTTTGGGGTTATTGTACGGACGTTTCTTTTGACACAATGTTTGTAGTTATATTTAGATAGAGCTACAGATATTTGGTTGCTAATTACAAGATTTCACAATTCGACATATTGATTACACTGTCAGGGTGATATAGGTAGTATAGGTAGTTTATGTTTATAATTAGATACGGTATTCTTCACAGAAATTGTCTATTGACCTGACGACGACGAATGTGTGGGAGAGCCATGCTTCGGTACGAATGGGTCGGCTCGAACGGAGTGATTCCACGGCCTCACAGAAGACCAACGTGAAACAACATTTGCGTTGTGTTTTGTCGTGTAAGTGACGTTACCGGAGGCCCAGAATCTGACATTTGATCTGACAGTTAAAAAATTCTAATGACTCTTTGCTAGACCTAGGAATCATACAAGAGACTTTTTTACACAATCAATCTTAATCCTTATATTAGCTCTACAGTAACACTACAGATGAATAATGTAATTAACGAGTAACACATGGGTTTCCCTCACCAGATCCATAGACAAATATTTATACCAATGTATACATCGCTCAACACTTTCCACCATGCTAGTGACAGAACATTTCTATCTGTCACGGCGCAGTCAAACAGGCGAGTCTAATTCATAGTAAATAGACTCGCCTACGTAGCCCACTCACCGAGCATCAGTTTCGTAACTGATGAATTGACGATGTACTTTTAGTAAATTCTATCTTGTTGTATATCTTTATATTTTGAGGTAGGATTAATGGAAACATTAAGAAGTATTAATGTGTAGTTGAACAATTTATTAATAACTAGCGACCCGCCCCGGCTTCGCACGGGTGCAATATGCATGTATTATACATACAAACCTTCCTTAAGAATCACTCTATCTATTAAAAAAAACCGCATCAAAATCCGTTGCGTAGTTTTAAAGATCTAAGCATACATACGGACATACAGCGAAAGCGACTTTGTTTTATACTATGTATTGATTTAACATTAACAAATTAATTCGGTGTTCATTTTCGTTGGGCACTAACTACAATACTTCCAAAATATCTCAATATTAGAAAAAAAAAGGAACAATAACATTCTTATTATAATAATAACTATCGTGAGAAATACTGGATTAACTAAAAATTGCGGGTTACTCACGTGAATATACTGAGAAAAGCTCTACTAGTTTCGAACCATAGAGGGGTTCTTCCTCATGAGCAGCGTACGCGGTCGCGACGATATTGCGCAGCCTACTCCTATTTTCTCAGTATTTTCACGTGAGTAACCCGCGATTTTTAGTTTACAATTACATTCATTTAACGCGGGATGTGTCCTAAAACTACAAGCCACCTAAGGATGACCAGTATCGTCCTCTGAACAGTTTGGTAATCCACCAGCGTTCAAGAAAATACGTCAAGAAATTATTAAATCTCCCTTCTTTTAAAGTAACGGCCATTATTCAGCAACAGATCATCTTGTTAATGGTAGTTAAAGAAAATAAAGAAAGTTATATAAGTACCTGAAGCCGTAACCTGGCGGCTCTTCTCCTTGTGAACCCTGGACAGCCCCTGCACAGGCAGACCAGCGCGTAGATACACTTGAACCATCGCGCCAACAGCTCACCTGCAAGTATATATCTTTATAGTTACAAAATAATCCCAATTAATGGGAGCTGGAAGTGCCTCTGCGATATCACAGGGAACTTTCAAAAATCTAAACAATCGATGGACATTTTTCCCATCACCGAAATAGAACCCTTTTTGGGCAGTCGCACTTGAGAGCCGTAGATATGAAACTAAATATATAAATGTATTCCAACCTAGAAACTATTACAGTTTTTCTCAGTACACTCACGTGAGTAACTCGTCGATTTTAGTTAATTCAGTATATGTAGTGATGTGTGTATCTCACGATAGTTATTAAAAAAATATGTATATACTCGACCTTTAAAAAAGCATTGACGAATAATCTAACCAAAGAAAATTTTAGTCCTTTGATCCCAACAATACCTATACATAAGGACCAGTTCTTCTAATGCAATTATACCTCTACGACACAAAGGCACTCTACTTAAAGTTTAAGCCTATACTGATCCTTAAAAGCTTTAGTAGAATTAAAACCATTATCAAAAGAAAGGTGATCCAAAAAGTCGGCTGAATGAGGGTCATTAGAAAGGCCTAGACAATAAAACTAGAAATCCAATTACCTATAGGTATCCACTCCATTGTTTCCAGATTAAAAAAATCTTGAATTTAATTAGGTTATTTATCCAGTGTAATTGTTTTCAACCTGCGACTATTACTTCGAGTTCATTCAGAAGTGGTTTCAAAGAAAAAACAAAACTAATTGTTTTAACGAACCGAGTCAATCAAATTACGCAGTTCTTTGTTTTTCAATGGAAAAAGAAATTGGATTAATATAAAAATAATAAGTGCTCATTTGTAATGTAAGTGTTACCTTAATGGTTTATCGCATTTTGGACCCTATTTACACTAAATGGGCAAAGGAGAAAGTCCCTAAGATTTGCGATACGCGCGTAACATGGGCGATTGAATGAAGTCCCTTAAATTCTACCTAGTCAAACTTGTAAGTACGTACAGACAGTCCCTATAATAATGTTATCCGATTTTCTACTTTACTTCTGAATAATAAAATTTAAGATCAATTAAAGACACACAAACAGTAGTATACTGACGTACTGACGACGCGTCGATTCGCAGCTTATTCTTAGCTGATAGATAAGAACCGATGGCAGTAATCAATCGAAAGTTCGGAGGAGAACAAATCTTGCTGTCAATGATTCGAACGATTCGTAGTCAAGTTCGATACAAATAATATTATGATGAGTGTAACTTTCTGGAAAACTCTTCCCTCTATTAAAATGACAGGGATAATAACATTCCCATAAGTTATGAGTCATAAATATCGAACACCTTCAGAGTTTAACGAGTGAGAAAATAAGAAACACAACTGAATCCGCGTCGTTTCACAATCAATTGCTCTGGAAAACATTTCCTTGATTTAATTTTCTTAGAAAAGCTAAATGCTTCACAAAAACCATATTATCGAAGCGTTTATGAGACCCGTACTTCTTAGAAAAAGGGCCACTTGGTACACGTTGAAACAAAATGTACGGTCAGATATTAGAAATAAAACGTTTCGCTAGCTGTCCAAATGGAATTTACAACAACAGCTGTTTGTTAAACATTACATTTTGTTTGATGTGTTTATAAAAATGACAACTTCCTTCCGAAGTTAAAGTAAACAAGTAGAGCTTCTGATCAAATGAGAAATGAAACGTTTCTATTGTTTCTGTTCAAACGTAGCCATGTGATTGCTCTGTCATTCTGTACGTTTCAATCACGTGGATTTTATTATGAATAACCGATTTTTTCTATTATAATTTTCATACTTTTGCAAGTTGGCTTTTTTTTTTTTTTGAGGGGGGAAAATCATCCAATGACTTCTCCCGCCCGGGTGAGGCGGGAGGGAGTGTCAGACTCTTACTGACTAAAAACCACCCCGTTCCTACTCCTGCACTTCGAGCCGGAGCCCCGGCAACCCGTTAAGTCTTCCGCGGCTCCGTATCGGCATCAGCCCTGTTAGGCCCCATCTGTGGTGGTCTGATGGCTCCTTGAGGTGCGCGCGGAACGCGACGCGCCGTACGCTCGGGCCTGGTTCTGGTCGGGCGGCGAGTCACCCGTGCTCGCCGTCCGCAGGCCCGTGCTTACGGTGGCCGGAGATCGTCTCGCGATCCCCGACGCCCGGAGTGTCTCTCGCGACGGCCGGGTCGTGAGGAGGTTCGTTCCCTCACGCGCTCCGCCTCCTCCTTAGCTAGCATGACTGCTTCGCAGAAGGAGGAGACGGCATCCCAGTCCCCCTCGCTCCGTACCATGGTCTGAACCAGAGCCGGACGCGAGAGGTCGCCGTCGCCGATCACATTCCTAAGGACACGGCGGTGCTCAGTCCACGCAGGACACACCGCCACCGTATGCTCCACCACAGAATTTCGGGCAACAACTTTCAGTGCTAATAGGCTTTGACTATCAATAGAAAAAGCAAATCCTCCGGTAACGTCGTTCACCGATGTCCTCCATGGCGTTTAATATACTAATGGACATTATCATGGTGTACAGTGTCCAATAGGTTAATTTTTTTTTATAGCATGGCCGGTAAACGAGCAGACGGATCACCTGATGATAAGCAATCGCTGCCGCCCATGGACACCCAAAACACCAAGGCGTTACAAGTGCGTTGCAGGCCTTTTGGGAATTGGGAATTTGAGGACTAGGAAGACTAGGGAGGGGGGTAATTTGGCCTCCGGTAACCTCACTCACACGACGAAACTAAAGGGAATCGTTCTTTCACGTCGGTTTTCTGTGAGGCCGTGTTATCAGAGCCGGCCCATTCGTGCCGAAGCATGGCTCTCCCACACTTAAATAATCTTTTATTCGAAATTAGTAAGTGTTACATTTAACAAATGTATCTACTACCAAGAGTTCTCATTTTGACAACTTACCGATAGATATTATTAGAGTTCTTTATGCCTCAATTTTATTATTATTCTCTACACCATCTCTTCAACAATCGATCCACCTTAGATCTTCATACCGCTTACATTGAAATACATCACTCCATCACCATGTTCACACCTTTCTTTAATAAATTTACTTCCCACTGCTATCATTCTCATCACGCTCCACATCCATCTGTCTACATCCAAACTCCTTTCATCCACCTTTCAGCCAGGTCTCATAAAGAATTCTAATATAATTATAGCTACCTTAAAATTCAAAGAGTAATGTCAAGTTATATTGTAGGGCTAACATTATGTAACTACCTACATAAGTCTCAGTTTTTAGGAAGATAGGGAACTTATTTGAAGACTGTCTACTTGGTTTATGTGGCAAATAAGTATTAAGGTACTGTTACACATGCTATAAAATAGCATGCTATAAGGCGTTCTTTATCGAACTCCTGTCGATTCTAAATAAGCATGCTATTTTTGAGCAATATTCCGACACACATGCTACTACGTAATAAGTGCTCAATGGGCCCTACCGTGTTCTTGTCGCTCTTCTAAATAGCATATTGTAGCAAGAGGTTTTTTGTCCCATCACAGCAGCTGTCAAATATTGAACCTCCAATGATGTGACACTAGCCAATCCTCTATTGGACAAGGAATAAGAGGTTCACACTAGTGCAATCTGGTCTACAAAAATATGGTAGGCCCCATAGAACGCGGGCCTGCGGACGGCGAGCATGGGTGGCTCCCCGTCCGACCAGAAACAGACCCGAGCGTACGGCGCGTCGCATTCCGCGCACGCCTCAAAGAGCCATCAGACCACCACAGATGGGTCCCAATACGGCTGATGCCGATTCGGAATCGCGGAGAACCTAATGGGTAACCGGGGCTCTGACTCGACGTGCAGGAGAAGGAACGGGGTGGTTTTTAGTCAGTAAGAGTCTGACACTCCCTTCCGCCTCACCCAGGTGGGAGCAGTCTTTCGATGATTTTCCCCCCTTAAAATAAAAAAAGGCCTCATAGAAGCATGCTTTCATGCTTGAAATTAGCATTTGTATAACATAACACCTTTAGTTTCAAGACAGTCATGAACTCAAATTAACAATACTGCTAGTCAAAATAATATAAGTTTAGTCAAAAAAAAATAAGTTTGTACGTACAAAATTCATTAGATCTCTTCAATTTCTTACTTTTTTTATCTAATGAGCTATCTTACTTATCTTACCAAGCAAGAATCTATCGAAGCAATTATGAAAACCTTAATGATGACCCTCATTACCTTCCGATTACTCCACCTCATTGATTGGCCACAATAATGGCCGCCCGGCGAACTCGTCAGCGTTTTTATACGTTTGCGAAAATGCCGCCATATTTTACATTTATTAATATCTATTAGTCAAATCTGACACGACGATAACTTCTGATTACAGTCGTTAAAGATGGTAATTTGATTTAGTAATATTTTTGTGGACCTTTTTAATTAAAATTGGCATTTGTAGTCCTAAGAATAAACTATTGAAAACACTTAAGTATTTACTCCTATTCGTCAGAGAACACGTTTAGCTATTTTTATTAATTGGTATTCGAGGGCACACGAGGCAAACGATCATCTGATGATAAGTGATCAACGCCACCCATGGACACCCGCAACACCAGAAGAGACACAGGTGCGATGCCGGGTTATTTTAAAAATACGCTCGTTTCTTGAAGGTTTGAAGGTCGTATCGGTTCGGAAGTATCGCCGACGACAGATCATTCAGTTTTTCTGTGGAATGATCTGTCTGGTGGTTTTGGTGTGTCACACCTATCTAAACCAGTTATCATTAAGAACACACCTACAAGTACCACACATACAAAGATGTGTAAATTAGAATCTTAATAATCTGAGACTCTAAGATTCAGAAATTCAGTACTTAGTAAACGTTAAGAAAACCTATTTTTTACAAGAATTTTGGAAATATATGTACAAATAAATATGGTTGTAAATCTTACCAACATTGGTCAGATAGAGCAGGAACAGTGGCATCCCGAGCAGTGCGTACAGGATCGTCACCACCTTGCCCCAGTCAGTCTTCGGAGACAGGTGCCCGTAACCTGAACAACAGATCAACCTTTGTAGCTACAGCAACAAAATATTTAAAAACAAAGTTTTAAACTCCTTTCCTACGTTTGGAGCAACCGAGTCCAGTCGAATGATTAAATCTGGCTAAAACTCGACGCTAACTCTACGCCAGTAACGAAAACACAATACCACAGCTTTCCAGTGTTTTTTTCTGTTAAAAATATATTTTAAGGTTTTACTAGTAAAGTTGTAAATCCCATCAGAGCTTTTAAATCAGTCCATGTATTCAGTAGCACATTACGTAGCAAGAGGTAGGCACTTAATGCCACTGTACAATGTTACACCCACTTTTCACTGGTTATGTTATGAGCCCCATGTAATAGGTGGTGAGTCTATTGACATTTGTGATTTTTTTTAATCCAGTAATATTTTGCCCGACCCAACCCAAGTCGAACCCAAGACCCCCTGCCCGGCAGTCCCACTTGCTACCACTCAGCCAACGAAGCAGTCAACATTGACCCAAACATGATGTCAGTAAACTTGTATTCTTACCTATGGTAGTAATAACAGTGAGGGAATACAAGAATGCTGATGAGAAGCTCCACTGCCGCGAGGATCTGCCACCGTCCCAGCCCTTGTGGACAGCCATCACTATCTTAGTCTGATAGTTGCGCAATTCTCTGCCAATCCTGCATAATAAATACACATTTAAAATCTAAGAAGAATGCATAATAAATATTATTATTAAATGAAATCATTTGTATTCGTACTGAAAATCATCACCATTGATGAAATTCTGGGAAAATCTGAGGTCAACTATGAACATGAAATTAATATCGGAATGGAAAATAGAGTGGGTTAATAATTCAGCGTAATGCTCTCACAGAGATAATAGTACTTATTTAAAAATTGAATAGTATTAACAAATACGAGTACTTGTATAATATAGTGGGAATAGGATACCCACCTTTCCTTGACCGCGGTCTCGTTGAAGAGGTTGAGGTCGAGGGTGACGTTCTGCCACAAATACTGCGTCAAGTTGTTGCGCTCTCGTGACATCTGCTTGTCCACCTTCCACTCACTGCCACCCTCTATCGCTTGGAACATGAATGCACCTGTGGAGAACAATTTTCTTTAAGTCTGGTCCTTTTACTACATGGAAGACAATAAAAAATGGTTTCATCGTTAAGGTTGATTGTCTTGCCCCACGCTTAGCAAGTAGCTTTCAATCTCTTTACCCAGTCAGGCATTATTTCAAAAAATATTTAATAAAAGTCACTTGATAAGAACGAATGCATTATAACAATAATTCTTCCACGTTCACCAAGAAGATTCATTGCTAAGTTGATTCAAAAATAAGCTCTTCCATACATCTGCTGCAGTAGGACGCCAGCTAATACTTCTCTACACTTTTAAAATTACAATTTCACCTTTGTTGCCTCGAATCGGTTAAAATTTTATTCCCAGTAGTGAATTCACTAGCTGTGGCTGATCATTTATCATTTTGAAACTATAGAACAAAGAGAATAATATGGAAGTCTGCGGTAACGACTAGATATTATTGGTTCGATAAATCAAACTCATAATGGTAGTGTTTGGACTGTGCTTAGTGAGTTGCTCAATGGGTATCGGTTTTAAAAGGCGTTACTCAAGCTTAGTCTGAGTCCTAGCCAGATTTAACTGAACCTCTATTACATATGGACCACTAACAGCCCGACTAGTCCTTCATAACTTACTAGTGATTTGGCTAAATCATAGCAGACTTTTGTCCTTCTAAATATAACCCGGTATGATTTTTATCACTTTAGCTAACTAGCCAGCAATAAAGGGTTAAATTGAATTGAATCGAAGAGCTTACTTAAAGAAGTAGTTGGTGATATTATGTCCTTTCAATTCGATTACAACATATTTATACTAAATGCAACATATACTAGAACTGAAATATAAAAATAAACTAATCAAATAATTACAAGGTTACACTCGACAACCTCTTCAACATTCCTAAACCCTTGATTTGCCTTTGATGATCATCACAAAGACATAAAAAGACTGTCATACAAAACGTAATTGTGATTTTAATTGAAACCGTCTTCATTTTTTATACGATCGGTTTGTCATGGCTCTTACAGCACTTTTATCTCATGCCAAACATCGCCTTATTATCAATTTATCATGGGGCCGAGCCACGAAGACAGATTCCTTTTAATTTACCGAGGACGACGGCCGAACATAAATTACGAAGCATCATAATGTCGTCAAGAAAAACACGAATTTAATTTTGAAGAGTTTCTTTGAAGACTTAGGGCGTGTGCACACTGTCGGGAATGAATGGATTGATCGCGCACTGAAGTATCGTTCAATCGCTGTTACTGTTTGACATTTCCTTCATTCCACGTTAATCTATTAAATCAACATGGTTTGAAACATAAAAATGTTCTAATTTATTTCAAAAGTTTCATTTCTTTAGACCCGTAGTGAGAATTTTGGTAGCTAGAGCTAGAACTGCTGGTAACGTGACCTACATTTCAATAGAAAGTTTAATTTTCTGGTGTGAACACATTGTGCATTGTTGGACAAACTTTTGACAGCTACAAAACATGCACCAACATGATATCACACCGCAGCGCAGTGACACTAACTTGTGATAGAAAAACTAGAACTAAAGTAGATGTCCATACACGATTGTCTACGGCTATACAATTAAAAAAATCTGAACTATTATATATAGTTTTGCGTACAAAGAACTAGAAAACATTTTACAAAACGTTTCCAGGCATCTCGACTCAGTTTACAGATTTAGACCTCTTTGTCTGTATACTGGTATAATTAAGAACCTTTTCAGCGAAGGCTATTCGTACTAGGCGCATAGAACCTCCCTTTCAGTGGAGAGCTTTTGAATACGAAGGTAAATAGAAGGTATGATTAAATACCTAGCTGTTATTAAGTCTGTTCAATGGTATCTTACACAAAGGATCCATAAACCACATCGTTTTAAGAACAAACTAATTTAATATTAAGAATTTAATTTTAAGCATACTTCTTCGAACAATCTTAGGCTATTGAAACTTGGAATCGATACAGTAAAGTCTTTTTAAGTCAGATTACGAGTCTTTGAAATTTCCACGCTCATCGCATATCCAATATTCTTCGGTGGTGTGCAGCGGCCTAATGCGATAACGCAGAGCACCGCAGCCTCCCGTTGTTCATCAAAATGACAAAGGAAATACCCGACAGAGATGTTGTAAAAGTTAAAAGTGCTCGGTGAAGTGTAAAGTTCAGGCTTTCAAGGCATCTAATGACGTGGCGCGACAACCATAATTCTATTATTGTGGAAGAATCGATATCCCTTTGATTTGAGGGTGAAGTGCGATAGGATTAGTGGAGCGAAGTAATTATTGACTATGTAATCAATCGACTGTCCTGTCTCAATATAGAAATTTGAAGTTCTAATTAGATCGTAACGTAAAGTGTGTAAAGTCGAGTTGAATCACTTCTTTCAATTAGACCACCAAAGGGCACTGTTTTGATCACTTTAATGTCTATTTACCTACATTTTGTTTTTCTAGCATGCCTGCATTACAGAGTATGTATGTATAGTAGTTAGTAGAGGCTCGTAATTACATTGACGTCAAAGCTCTTTTACAATGTTCAGGTTTATAAAGGTTTCTCTTGAATAGGGCAATGTTCTCAAAGTATGTCAATAGGTGTACCTATCTTCTTATAACTGGGAAGAAATAACAAGCTTGATAATTACAGTATTCAAACTGAAATGTTTGTTGCGAGAGAACCGAAAGTTTAGGAAAACTAAAATTGTTTATTCGAACGTATAAAACCTTTGGCAAATACTACTTATTCGTGAAATAGCTGAAAGTTCACAAATAATACAAATATCCTTCAAAAGTTGGCCGAAAATATTTTCAGAATTGCGTCTACAGCTTAGTCAGTTGGAACATAAACTTAATTTCGCAGTAACGAATTAAAACTCCGGCCCAACATTCAAATAAAAGTAAATTTAGTAATGGAATGCCGCAAGGCACCATAATCGGACCCATAACAAAAAGAGTGTAATAAAAATGTAACCACGACGCTATAACAACATCAGAAGTATGCCTAGCAAACCATAAAAAAGCTTCCCCCGATTCATCATATTTTATGGCATTTGGCAACAATCGTGGTCGTACAATCGTTTGTGGGGAACCAAAAAGGTCGTCACTGAATTATCGATTGCCAAACACTTTCTAACAACTGTTGCGGTTTCGATTCCATTGAATGCCTTTGTTGTGGTTTCCATATTATATTTATAGAGTTCCGATTTGGAGTTGGATCACCCAAATGGCTGCGGATTAATTGAATTAAATTAATGTTAATTTTCTAAAATTGTTTGGTATTAATTAATGTAACAAACATGTGAATTATTTGGTAACTAATCAAAAAGGTCTCAACTTTATAATCAATCATCCGAACATACGTATGTATATGAATCATACATATTTATTTACAAATAAAGTTATACGACTGAAATATTGCATCGCATCATCATCAGAAATGACTTAAACTAAAATAAACACGGAAAAGATTTCGGTATAATTGCGATTCTCGATTCGCGCCGGTATATAGCTGAACAACTCAAACTGATTACTGCCTTTGACGTCTCTCCGAGCAGGTCCTTTGACTGCGACATTACGGCTTTGATTGCAACGTTAGTACGACTCGAAATAGAATCAATGAAGTCAGCAATCCTTTAAGATTTAGAAACTAAAGGGACATTACAAGTCAACATGGAATGTAAAGATATTTCAGAGATAGTGACCATTGGTTGACTGACCTGACCAATGGTTACTAAAATAATAAGCTTCATTAAAAAATCATACATATATTTTGGTGTACTACTCTGCAATGAGCCAATCTTTATTTTCTTATCTGTGTACTATATAACTGTGCAGATTATATAGGATATGATATGATTCCATCTTCTTGTTTGGATTAAAAAGTCCTGGTAACTCGATCATATTAAACCCATTAATTAGCCGTATTCGCAAAGATGAATCATCAAAAGCGACCTCATTCTGTAGTCTCAACCTTTAATTAAAACTGGTGTTGACTCTCCAAAGGTCTGGAAATGGCTTTGTAAATTCATGGATTATGTATAATCAAGAACCAAGTACTTAATTGGCTCAAATAATTCGACTTGTATGACCAACTTTTACGCAAATGTTTGTAAAGGTTGTGTTTGTGTATGTCGGCGCGGCCGTCATTATTTTGTAAACTGCGAATGTAATGGGCGAGCAGTGAACAAACAACTGACCGACGTCACTTCAACCCCACCACCGAGTGATATATAAAGCAGTGCAAGCGCAAGCTCGAGTCGGTCGTTCGTCGATCGTTGCCCAGTTCACACGTTACGCAATCGCTGAGTAATTTTATTGTTGGTTTTATTTGAGTGTTTCCTTTATATAATCAGTGCTGAATTATTCAATTATTATAATTAAAAAATTAATGTGAAAGTAAGTTCATTTAATCGAAATAAACTAAGTGATTGTGTAAAGCTCTTTGTTTTATTTTCAAATAATGTCGGACCCTGATCCTACATGTATATTATGTTATGTTTTATTTGCGAAAATGTATTAATTACTGCATGTTGAAGTTATCGGGATTAAGATGGGGACTAAACAATGAAATATCAGAGAACTGGCGGTAGTTTGGAACTGACGACATCCATCAGCATTTTAATGCGCAGATCTGAGTAGCTAGTTGCTGCGAGGTGGTTGATTGTAATGGCTTATGATTGTCTTATTTCTCATTTCTGTTACTATTAGTTACATACAACATTATATTATTAAACGTACTCTAATAATTATTTATGATAATCTTACCAGCAATCGTATAAGCAACGACAAGCACGATGACGCCAACATTGCTGAAGAGGAAGGCGAGTAGACCGCGCACGTAGTCGCGGATGCGTGACGCGAGCCTGCGCTTGCGACGGGGCATCATTCACCGCGCATCGTGAGGCCCCGCCCCCTCGCCTCGCACCAGCTCATTGGTCCGGCTTTATGTCATCTGAAGTGGGTCTGGAACAACCAAACATATTTTTTACTAACAAGAATCAGATTTGAGCATAATTAGAATTTTCATCCTAAAAATGTCTAGATGGAAAAGAAAATTCCAAACAACAGACCCAATAAAAAGCAATAAAAATAATTTAACAAAAGAAACTCCAAACTGAATTAAGTGCTATCAATTTCATCTCGATGCGGTACCTAACGTATCTAAGCTCCCCATTCCCCGATGTATCGTCGACGTCTTGTTAGAGTATCTGCACGTATGGCCTCGACCGCAAGTCCTTCAAACTGGTGGATGCGCCGCAAACTTGCGAACATGACCGCACTGCATGATACAATCACACTAAATTAAGTTCCCTTGTTTGGAACACTACACGTATGACCGTGCTCCCTTGAGAGAAGATGTAGCTTGATTGTGTTAATCTGAGTATAGTATGTTGAGTATTATTAGGTTAGATGTGACAATGTGATCATTTATGAATGATCAAGGGTTTTACGCCAACAGAAAAACTTTTCAGCAGAAACATAATGTTGGTTAAGTTTTACCGCTAGTTTTAAAATCACTAGCACATAGTATAAAACAAAGTCGCTATTCGCTGTCTCTCTGTCCCTATGTATGCTTAGATCTTTAAAACTACGCAACGGATTTTCATGCGGTTTTTTTTAATAGGTGATTCTTAAGGAAGGTTTACATGTATAATACCTTCATGCATATTGCATCCGTGCGAAGCCGGAGCGGGTCACTAGTAATATCTTGTATATTACTAGTGACCCGCTCCGGCTTCGTCATAATAAAAACATAATTATTAGAAACTAACAATGAAATAGTCTACTAATTTTAGCAAATCTCTAAAGTTACATGTTGTGAAAATATTATGTTAAAATCGCCAAACTTTCTATTTTTTTTATTATTATTTATTTATTCTTTTATGGTACATAAGGCGAACTTAATGTCATTTGGCATTCTCTTCCAGTCAACCTTAATATCTAGGTATAAAATAATATCTATTTTCATACGACCGCCACTAAAAAGCCTCATGAGACTGTTATCATCCATAATAGTACTTATAACCACAAATGCATTAATAACAATTAGTCACTTGTCTCTAATAATATTATACATTATTGTAAACAGTTTCATTTCCCCGCCGGGAGCCACAACATGGCGCGGTACAATAGTATCAAACTCCGCTACAATGTACTGCCGACCTCCAACAAGTGGGCCGTTTGCCCGCTTGCCATCTCAATTATACACACAAACCAACAGATTGAATTTAATCAGATAATGAATATCTTCTCTAATAGTGCTACAGATAGGGTTACGATACAACCGGAACATTCCGGATGTGTCCGGATATTTAGGGTTTTGTCCGGATTGTGGTGGAAATCCTTAGCCGTCCGGAATTTTGACAAATAAGTCAAAGTCAAAGCATTTATTTCAATTCAACTATAATTTGGTACTTTAGAAAAGTCAACAAATGCAAAATATTTTTTTTTATTCTCTTTATTTTTATTATTTTAGGGGGTTTTTGTCCATATGGATACGTCAACCCCATCGTACCTTATCTAATTAAATATACTCTGTAAATGAAAGGGAATCATTAACAAGGTATGAGATAAATAAAAGAAAAGCTATATCACTCTCATCAATTCACGCAATCCCTTTGCGATCTTCGTTTTAGGATTTGCTAAAATGTTTTGAACTAGCCCAACATCTAATTTATTCAACTTATATTTTCTGATTAATGATTCCCTTTCATTATTGTTCCTGGCATATTCCATTAGCAAATGTTGTATGTCCTCTACTTTGTTGCATAATTCGCAATTAGGTGATGCAACCTTCCCCATAAGAAAAGCAAACTTCGCCGATGGATAGTGCCCAGAACGCAGCCTTAATGCTAACTTAACATAATTTCGACCCAAACCTGCATCCTCAAACCAAGGCACCCGCGGAAGCTCATTCTGAATTGTCTTGTACCAAAAATGCAAAATACCTCTAAATAATAGCCTATCAGTCTGTACGTCGGTGCAGTTAGGTGCTCATTCCAAATGGTAGATGCGAATAGAGAAGATCGAGCAAGAAACTCCATTTGTTACTATATTATGTAAACAAACTAAATTATCAAGTCCGCACAGATAGGTGCTTTTCCTAAACTCTAATCCACATGCATCTTAATATCCAAAATGTTCTTCCAAGGTCCGGCATTTTAATATTGTAACCTGGGAACCCATTGTTACATATCGATTACACTCAGTTTCTCTATTAAACTGTCAAACACCAAGCGGTCACCGGCGACCGCAACCTATTGTTCTATAATTGTGTCTACAAAACCGGTACTCGACGAGTTAAATGCAATAGAAAGTATTATAGTGCACTAGCATATAGAATATGCATAGCTATTATTGTGTTGTGTAGGTGTATTCATACATATTCCTTTAGAACTGTTGAAATAGTTTTGTTGTTCAAAGATTGTTACAGAACAAACTTCATCTAGTCTATTTACTTATGTGTGCGGAGTTAAAGCTGTTTTTCCTTTGGCTACACGCAAAGTTCTACAGTTGTACTTCTTCTTTAAATCAATTAAACTTGCATTGAGCAAGTGTGGTGATTAATGCTTAAACCTTGTCCGTGTGAGAAGAAGGCTTTAGTCAGCAGTGACTTATAAGTTGTGGATATTGAGACTAACTTTAAAGCCGTCATATTACAAAACCTCTGTGATTATACCTATGTACAACTGCTCAATATTTGACAGGAAACTCGCAAATCATTGTGACTAGCGACTACTGGCGACTGCTCGCAAATCAACCAGTTATTATAAAAGGATATATAAATATGTCAGTTTTGCACTCACACATATATTTTCACATTGCGTGTTGACATTTGTTTCCGAGCTAATCTGGGAATTATAAACTGTATCAGATGTACATCAAATAAATCATTGCAGTTGTGTTGGGTATAAATATTAAATAATGTAGTATTTGTTGTTATTGCTTTTATTTTAATTGTGTATCAACTCGCGTAGGAATACAATTGCTCCCATTTTCTGGGTGTGGATTTCGTTCAATGCATTTACATAAATTGCAAATGATCCAACTATAAAATATGAATTACATGACGTCATACAATTTATTCATTGTTATTCATTCATTCATTTAACTTATGTTGATGAACCTACAATGTTGATGTTTATACATAATTATATGTTATATACTCTTCCAGTGGCTTCTAGATCAGCCGGTTGGAAGTATCCTGCATCCAGTATTTCTGCGACCCCTCATTAGGTCTGTGCACCTTGTGGGTAGACTCCCACACCTCGCTTGCCTTTTGCCCCATCAGCCATCGGGTCTCCGAGCTATACATAGGTTGTAGGTTTATGTAGAGTCATTGTACTTATCGATCAACAAAAGACACACAGCAAACCTATTGACTGTACGGTTAGCGCAGTAGTTGGGCAACTGGCTGCCGTGCAACGTGTCGCGGGTTCGATGATTCACGCATGGAACAATATTGTTATTCCCGGTCTGGTTTGTGAACGCACCCACGACACAGGAGAAAATCCTAGAGTAGAGCATCATTATTTAAAAAAAGAACAAAACATTTTTTTGCCAAAACTAGACCGGTTGGCTACTTGTTTCACCAATAATAATAACATCTTTACACACATTCCTGACAGATAAGATAAATCAAATAATATAAGCCAAGACCACTGAACTAACAAGCCATTCAGTACGAGTCGGATTCAATAACTTTAAAGCATACAGGTGCAGATATGAACGCGAAGCTGAATTGATTGTAGCAGACGCATATACAAGCAAACAAACAAACATCGAGCAATATCTCCTTCATACATACGTATGTCACTATATTAAATACCTAAGCTATAAGTCCCACCTATTTAGTATAAACTATTTAGTTAGAACACAAAGTCAATATGTTAACGGAATACAAACTGCGGGGTGAATGGGAAACCTCGATTGACTAGGGATGGGAATGTCGATATTCTGATTACTATCGATATTACGGTAATACGGTGTACTATATTCGTGTTAATGTCAATACCAATATTATGTTTGGAGTAGTGTGAGTTTCATGGTTAAGTGAATACAGTGGCTTTCTCTGTTACTATTGGATTTCATGTATAGTGTTCTAAGAGTATTCTTTTTGTGTTTGTATTTCTAAGTGCTATTGATAGCAAATAGTTTTTCAAATATAACTGAAACAAAGAGACTCATAATATAAAAGATATATAAATAATCAAACTCGATCACCAAATGGACTTCTGATTAAGACTGTAGATTTGTCATTATCATCCCTATTCCATTCTCTGCTAAACTTCAATAGCACGCCACTGAGCGCAATCTTCAGCTCTTCGCATCCAACAGCTGAAGAGCACCCTACTCTACGTTAGCCGAGGCACGATATCCACTCAAAAACACGTCTACCCAAACGATCAATGGTTCTGTCAGCGACAGATAATATTTACAAATAAAACTGCAAATAATTTAATAACAATGGCAACCTCAATTCCTGCAGAAATACCTGATAAATAATAACTTAATCACCGTTCCACTGAAACGTTATCCATTAAATATTTTACCTAAAGTAAATGAAGTGAACGAAAATGAATAACTGAGATGAACATCAAACCGCCGCCCGATGGCCACCGGCCGCAATGACTGCGCCAGTTCACTGTGACCGCAGCTTTACAATTTAAAGCAGCCATTTTGAAAAATGGCCGCTGTTTTATTCCACCCAGTTAACTCGTGCAACTTGTGATGACAAATTGCTATAAGCCACATGTTCCCGTGTTCATGTTGTCACGGAAACAGTTGTGTTAAGTTGTGTTTTAATTGCTATATTTATTCGTGACAGAGAGCAATGAGAGAAAAAGAAATTAAACCTATGTGTTTTGAGTTTTATTTATGTATTCTTTTGAAATGGTAAAAACTGTTTTATTTTTCTTTGTTGTGATTCTCTGTGATGAATATCTAACTATTATATTTAACGT